GTAAAAATAAATGAAAAAACTTAAAGGGAGAGGTGAAAAAAATAAGGAAATTGGAAAAAAGAAAAAAGTAAGAAAAAGACAAGAAGCAAGGAAGAAGGACAAAGGAAAATTCCACAAAGCCCAGTAAACTGGTGGAGAAGAAAGGAGGAAAGGAATTTAAAGAAATAAAGAAAAAGAAAACAAAACAAAAAACCCCAAACAAACAAAAAGAAATTTCTCTGTCATTTTGAATATATGGTTTTCTTCCAGTATCTACAGTTTTGGGGTGGTATCCAAGTCAAGATATGTCCTTGCTCATACTGGTAGACAAAGAAGGCAGATCCCAGATCTGTACTGGATGCAGGTACTAGCAAGTAGTAGGATTAGAACGAGGGTGCCAATGCTGTCTTTCCAATCTGGAGCAACTCAGGCTGAGCCTAGTCTCTGGTTGTAAGGGCAAGGCCTGTGTCCTTTAGCTCAGACCCCTCAGGGGGTCTCCAGCCTGACCATGGCCCCCTGACCACAACTCCCTGACCACAGCTCTCTCCCATGCCTGTCTCACATAGTCACTGTGGGAACGTAATACTGAGAATCCTAAAGTGAAGCCATTCAGTGACTTTGCTGAATCCTAGGTTCAAACAGTCAACCTTTCCCTGGAATAGTGGCCAGCACTCTTTCCAGGGGATATGGCAGGGACTTGGACTGGAGTTACTCACTTAGTGGTTGCCTGTTGAGGGACTCACACAGGAGTAGAATCCCCTTTTCTCCCTGCATCTCACAGCAACTGCCAGTCCATTCCACCATTACGTTTTCTCCTGAAAGTCTGGAGTCCCCAGTTTCACTCTGCCTCTGTAGTTTTGGTTTTCCTTTCCTGTGAGTCAGAAGCTAGGAAGAAAAATGCAGATTGTCCCTTCCCTTCTCTGAGTTATGTTCTGTCTCTTCGGTTTCTCTATTGGATTAATTTTTTTGTCCGATCCTTCCTACTTCCCAGGGATCTACTTCTGTCTTTTTTATTTTTTCTTTCCCAACTTGTTATTTTCCAGTGTCTGGATTCTGAACCTTAGAGAGGCTACATTGTTGTTTCTTACCATTCTGCCATTTTCCTGAAAGCCCCCTAGTTTTTAGTTGTTGAAAATGGTACATGTGGTAGAAAGCAGATGTAGAAATCAGAGCCATGGAAAACTGCCAGGCAAGGTAGTTTTGGGTTTGAGTGATAAATTTAAATATCTGATATTTAGAGAAAGAGTATTAATTATAAATAAATAAGATTGGGCTGGGGATTTAGCTCAGTGGCACCGCTCCTGCCTCACAAGTGCAAGGTCCTGCGTTTGATCTCTGTTCCTCCCTAAATAAATAAATAAATAAATAAATGGGATGACTGTTATCTATCCAAACTCCTTCCAAATGAGTATGTTCGGCGAAAGTGCTGAAATTCTCCAGTGTATTCCCCTTAAATGTTTCTGTTGCCCAAAAGGCCATTTTTAAGGTGATAGACAAAAAGAAAAGATTGGGGGTTCAGGTGCAGGATTTATAACTCAGACAGTAGTGTGGGTAGGTATTGGACAAACAATCTTAAGTTTTAGAAAAACACTTGGCATTTTATAGTCTTTCTTTCTTTTTTTCTTGGTTTTTTGAGACAGGGTCTCCCAGTGTGTAGTTCAGGCTGGCCCTGAACTCACTATGTAGCCCAGGGTGGCCTCGAACTTGTAGTGATCCTCCTACCTCAGCCTCCTGGGTACTGGGATTACAGGTATGCGCCACCATGCCCAGCTGTATTCTTTCCTTAAAACAGTTTCGTTTGAGTCCTTGGATATGGGCTGAGTTTTCTTTTTCTTCCTTCTTTGCTTCCTTCCTTCTTTCCTCCCCCCTCCCTCCCCTCTTTCTTCCTTGCCTTCCTCCCTCCTCCCTCCCTCCCTCCCTCCCTTCCTGCTGTGTAGTCCAGGCTGACCTTGCGCTCACTGTATAGCCCAGGCTGGCCTCAAAATCACAAGGATCCTCCTGCCCAAGCCTCCTAATTGCTGGGACTATGGCTGTGTGCCACCACGCCCAGCTAGGCTGAATTTTCTTGTAAGCAGATATGTTGTAGAGCATATGTGTTTTAAGGGCTCAGGCTTCTTGATTTTCTTTGCCATGGAAATACATCAGTATTATTTAAATAAATGAAAAATGTGCCTAAATCACAACAGCAATGCTAGACACATTTGGAAAAATATGAGTGTACTTTATTTTGTCTTTGTCTATAATTTGATGTCCTAAGGAAAGAAATATAATGAATAGAACTAGTAAATATGTATATTTGAGGAAGTTCCCCTAAGTCACTACTGAATCAAATTTTTTTATGTTTTAAAGGAACAACTGTGGCTTTTTCTATTGTGTAGACATAGCCTAAAAGAAGGAAAAAAATCAGAAATCTCTCAGCAACCATTGATAGGTTAGAATGTAAGTCCTGAAGCAAATAGTGCATTGACCAGAGATATAGTTTGTTGATCTTCATTCATTAGGATTTTATAGAGAGAGATGACAGGCGATACAGTGATACTACCATTGTTGAATGCCTCCAAGCCTGAACTTTACACTACTTGAACAGCAGAGTTTGAAAAACAACTGGGTGTTCGTAACTTTGCTCAATAGTGAATCTGAAAATCTGATGAAAAAACCTGTATAGGCTGAGAGTGAGTCACACATAAAAGCGTGAAACTTCGGTCTGAGTGCTACTCTTGCCCATACCACATACAGTGTTTGTGTAATGTTTGGGCCTCAGAACCAATTATTTGGTTTTCCATTATTTCTTATGGGAAAAATGTTCAGTTCTCAAACTTTTCAGGGTTGGAACATGAATTTGGATTGAATTGAGTTCAACAACTGAGGTACCACTCTGTTTACTGTTACGGAAAGGACCACAGCTTGAATCATTATTGAATTTTTATTTTTTTTTAATTTTTAATTTTTTTTGATACCGGGGATCGAACTCGGGTCCTTGCATTTGCGCAGCAGGCGGCGAAACCACTGAGCTAAATCCCCAGCCCTCATTATTGAATTTTTAAAAATTTGAATAACTGGAATTATATTATTAGAAAGCATACTTTTTATTAATATCCCAATAGCTCTCTGACATCAGCTTTTGTCATCATGCATAAAGTTGACGATCATGAATGGTTTAATGAGTTCATTTTTAAGAGGTTTTTGAGATTATTTTAGCTTCACCTAGGCTAACACTAAATCTCTGAGGGTATGATCTCCTCTGATCCCTTAGTAACATAGTATTAAAGCATATATGCGACTTCATACACAATAATGGTACTAGTCATGTTGACTACTAGTAAATTGTTACTTAGAAATTGCTCTGAAGGTAGAAGACTTAGGGTAATAATTAGCAACAGTATGTTGCTCTCTTTAGTAGTTTCTTTGAGATACAGTTTATGTACCATTAAATTCACGCTGGTTATTTTTAAATAAAGGGAAATAGTAATAGCAATAATAATTACTATATTTGCAATACTGGAGATTGAATTCAGGGCTACATCCCAGTTCCTTCTTACTTTTGTTAAATTTTGAGACAGAGTTGCTGAGTTGCTAAGTTGCTCAAGCTGTGCTGGAAGTTGTGGTTCTCCTGCCTCAGCCTCCCAGAGTGCTGGAATTACAGGCAGGTGCCACCATGCCTGGCTGAAAATTATTAATAAGTGTTAAGTACAAACTTTACCCCATTATAAAGTATTAAAATATTTTTCAAGAATATTTCAAGATGATGTTCTTTTCAATACTAATAAGGTGATCGTTAGCACTTCTAAATTTGTAATCAAGTAAGACTGAGTGGACTTGAAAAGGTGTCATGATTCTCTGTGTTGGAGAAATACAAGGTCATATGGGATAGATACATGCTGAATCATGCTGGCCAGTTGTCAGGGTTGTGAAATACCGAAAAATCCCATCATGGATTAAGCAAGTCAGGTGAAAGAGGATTACTAGGAAAACACCTTTTGGGTTGTAGGTAGAAAAGAACATGATATGAATCATGAGAGCATAGATTGTAAGTGTACTGAAAATCTTAAGTCTACTTTCCAAGCATGTGCTTCCTCATTTCATGACAAAACTCCTTTTTTCCTTTTAGAGCTGATTAAATGACAAATCTCTCTTTTTGGCAAAATATAGTGCACACTCACCCAACCCCTACATGGCTGTGACACCTAAGAACCAGCACAGCAAGTTGTATAAAGCCAGTGGCCCCCATGGAGCTACTGTAGAAATAGCACGTTGCCCACTCCTCAGGAGTCATCTGTATTTGTCTTCCTGATTACGACCCTTCCCTACCTCAGTCCTCCCTCCATGATTTTCTTGATTACCTCTAACTGTATACACAGTATAAAACTGTGTGTGTATAAACCTGCTCAACTTAGTTTTGGATTTTCTAACTTAGTGCTGCTTTAGGAGCCCATTAATAATAACACATGTTCCTGTGTTCTCACTCACACGCTCCCACACTCCATTCTCTTAGCAGTACACCCATTATTCATTTTAGTTTTATCTAGTTTGAGTCACATCTTTGAAAATACCCAAAGACTTGACTCAAACTGGATGAAACTAAATAAATAACTGAAAATGAAAGATTTGCCAACATTGAAGGATCCCAAATAGTATGTGATAAAAGAGCACCTAGAACGGGTTGAGCAAAGCATGATTTCTAGTGAGTGCAGCAGGCCCTACAGAGAAAGCAGCCCAGACTCTGGAGCTGCACAGACCTGGTCTGATTTCAGACCAGGACCCCTGGACCACTGACTGGCCGTGTTGCCAGGAGGTGGTACTGCATTTCTTTGAGCTTTGATTTCATCCTATGTAGAGGGAGGATCACATCATCTGCTCTGAAGAGTCAAAGCGCTTAGTGCTTTGATTGTCTGACTGTTTGAGTATTTGCAGGGTCGTGTTCACACAGAGGAGGCATTTTAGACAGGGGTCAGTGGCATTAATCTGTTGTGCCTGCCTCATGCTTTCATACCTTTCATGCTGTTTACTTTTGCTTCCTGCAGGAACGATTCCAAGTGAAGAATCCTCCCCACACGTACATTCAGAAGCTCAAAGGCTATCTGGATCCAGCTGTAACCAGGAAGGTAAGGTAGATTTGTTGCTTCTTTATTAGTGGACAGAGTCCTCTGCATTGGAAGAGATTTTTGCTTTGCTTTGCAGTAGTTCTGCCACAGCCTCCAGGAAAACAGCCTTTGGATACCAACGATGTGAGAAGACAAAGAAAAAGAAAAACCTTTCCTTCACTTAAAGATGTGTTTAAAAGTGCTTTCTTAGATGGGAGTCATGTACCTCTCTGATGGTTATTGACTCACTGTTGTTTCTAATTACACAGTGCAGTGAGTCTGGTCCAGAGGTGATCAGGTCCTGGAGTAACAGGCTTGGCAAAGGGAATACTTGTCTTTCATGCCTTGGTGATTTCCAGGGACCTTGAAAACTCACTAGGGCTTTGTCATCCCAGCTGTGTACCAGCATCCTGGGTTGATATTTTTAGCAACTTCCCTACCCTAAGCTCTGGCCCTGGCCCCAAGAAGGTAAAGGGAGAATAGCTGATTCCATTCTCAACTGACTTTCTCCTTTTACAAACAAGCTCTGTATTGTGCAGCTACACAATTGATTTAAACTGATGCCTTGTGGTAAACCATGTAGCCTGGCACAGCCCCGCAGCCTGGATCAGCCCTGGGATGTCTCAGGGCAGAGCTGTCCTTGCTCAGGAGCTCAGGATGGATGGCTGTTCAACAGATAGCGCTTGTTTTTCCCTTGACCTTCCACAACTCCTGCTCTCAAGGATCTGGCAGAAATATTTCAGCTGAATTCCCTCTTTTGTTTTGGTGTATGACTCAGGAGAAAAGAAAGGCACTCTCTTCTTTGTTGGCCACTGTTTTCAGGGTTCTTGGCTTTTAAAAAATTTTCTCCTTTCTCTTCATCTTCTGCTACTCTAACCCTTCTTATTTCTTTTTCTTTTTTTGGTACCGGGGATCAAACTCAGGACCTCGTGCTTGAAAGGCAGGTGGTGGAACCACTGAGCTAAATCCCCAGCCCAGCCTTTCTTCTTTCTATCCTTCAAGCAAAGAAAAATATCTGTATCTAAGTTTTCTGGACCTTTATCCTATGTTGACACACAAAGGGGAGTAAAATCTAAGAGTGACAATGAAGGTGGAGTACAGACTATTTTTCTCTGTTCCATATAAGACTTGACGTGACATAACATTCCTTATCTTCTAAGAATGTCCCTGTGAAAGTATCATTAAATACTTCTCCCTGTCAGAAATACAGGACACGTATTATTTTTAAAAGATCAATTTCCAGGCCCCCAAAATGCAGCAGTTGATTAATTCTTGTTCATTTCTCGTTTGTCTTTTTTTCTTAAGAATATAGCAGCCTTTATTTCATCAAGTTAGAGAGCGTTATAAAGGAAGGCATACCACCCCACACAAAATATATCCTCCTCCAAAGAAAGCAGGTGTTTTTCTGTGGTATTTCTTTGCATAGGGACAGCAGATTCTATTTTAGAGTAGATTTCTGAAGGTTTTCAGAAGTCTCCCAACCTGTAACCTCCAGGCTGACTGCTCAGACCTAGCACTAAGCATCTCATCTTGAGCAGAGTAGGGCAGGAGTGCTGATGTTTCCACATAAGCCCGAGCTTTCCCCACATGCAGAGTATGTTCCATTCCAGAACAAACCTCTCCACATTTTTCACATTGTGAAAAGAAAGCAGAAAATATGTAAACTCCCTGGGAGTGCTGCATCGGTTCTCAGCCCAGGATGGGAAGGGTGCTAAGGAGGCAGACCAGAGCTTGCTCTGCCTGTGGTCTCAGTTCCCCTTTAGATCAGTTGTTTTTGGTTTAAGACAAAGAATACAAAACAGAACAACCACTGTGCTTTTCAGAAAGTGTTCTGTTCCCTCACAAATGATCAAGAGGAGCAGGACCAGTGATAACTGTCTGGATCTTCCTTCCTGATATCTCTGCTCTCAATAGCATGAGTTCATCTGAATGGCTTTGTTTGGTCTGTGCCTCATCTTTCAAAATTAGTCATTCAGCTCAGAAAAAAAAAGTGGATGTTGGATTAAACAGTTCTGCTTTAGTAAGATTTGTGTCAGGAGCTGGCAGTAGGAAAGGATATATTCCATATAATTGTAATGCTTAAAACCTGAAAAGAAGGAGATTTGTATGGAATAGGCATGGCTTGCAGTTAAAATGAGCTTAAAGCTCTCAGCTGTAGACAGTGATTGTGATGGTGGGAAGATTTCAAATCAGGGCTTTATCTTTTAGCCAGTCAGCTGAGCAGTCTTCCTTTAACTGTGTCTGGAGTCTTCCAATACTTGAGTCATTAATCTTTTGTTCAAATGAATAGAAGACACTTAATTTGGTCTTTTTAAAAAAGAAAACTCTTAAGGATACTCTGTTTACATTTTCTTCTAAATAGTTTTAAATGACACCCTGTAGGGCAGACAATGAAGAGCCTAAAATAGATATTTTAGACTAGACCCCTGTCTATCATCCTCTTCATTTAATATCAGACAATCATTAGGCTATGGTTTGGGCGAGAGTGTATTCATGTCTGGCATGGAAAAAGGCTGTAGATCTTGAAGAAAGGAGCCTGGTCCTTTGCTGGTCCTGCAGTTGTGCTGTGAGACCCATAGTGTGGCTCACTCAGGGTTCAGGGTCTTCCTGAGCTCATTGTGGGCCCTCCTTTTCCAGGAAGGGAAAGGAGAAGTATACAGAAGCTGATGGATAACTACTTGCTCCTCCTTGCTGATCTCCATGGGCACATGCTTTCTCTTTGAAGTGTTTTAAAGCATTCTGGATACATTTAGCAGTGCAAGCTGTTAGCACTTACTGTGGCTGCGTTAGGGAAGTAGATGCCAAGGCCTGTCTGTGGTCCAGAATCCAACAGAAAAGTGAGTGTTCCTCAAGGTAATGGAGTAAATGAGCAAAGGAGTTTAGTTTGTCTCAGCTCTCGTGTCCTTGAAGATGTGTACACTGGGCCTTGTGCCTAGGAAATGTTAGCTGTTGCTGTTACTGATATTAGCGCAGTGTTCTGACTTAGTTACCTTGGGTTGATAGATATTTTTAGCCCTTCGGCTGAGCCTTGAACTCTGCTATGCTTTCCGTGTTGCACTTATGCTGGTGATGTGTAAGGGATGATGATGGAAGCATGAGGCAGAGTTGGGGATGAGCCAAGGCTGCAAGGAATGAGTCAGAACTATCCCTGACACCCAGCTTGGAATGCCACAGGTGCGCACAGCCTGCGACTGAGGGCTCAGAGGTGGGAATAGCTGCTCTGCGGTGGCCAGCACACCTGGAAATGGCTGCCTCAGCTATGTGACCACAGGCCGTACTTTCCTTTTAGTAAAAGTAGAACTGAATTCTTTTTTCTTCTTTTCCTTCTGTATCCAGACTGCAGAACTGCCTGCCCCACCTGATGTCTCCTTTCTAGTCCATTCTTAATTTTTTTCTCCCTGGGAAGAGTTTAAAGAGAGAGAACCCTTTAACCATCCTGCCCTACTCACCTTCCTGCCTGGTGCTTCATTGCTTAGCCTCATTACTGGAAAATTGTCCAGTAAACTCTGGACTCAACTGTGCCTCCAAATCACACAAGACCCTCCAGAATGAGGGAGCGCCTTGCTTTTTCTTTTGTCACATTAGGGATTTGTTATTTCCCATATCCCACTATATCGGTATTCTAAAAATGTAAGAAGGTCTTTTTTAGGGACTGTTGGGAGTGGCAGTGCTCTATCCTGAGCAGCATTCCAGGTCTGCTTGGGCCATGGACCCCCCTTGTATGGCATAGCTCTTAGCACCCCACATTCTGGAATCCCCATTTCCAACCCCCACCTTACCCTCAGACATTTGTCTCTGAAGCCATGGGAGCCAACGTCAGCGGTGTGGAGCTGGCTGACTGCACTGCACGTGTGGTGAGAGAGGAAAGAGAGAGAGAGAGAGAGAGAGAGAGAGAGAGAGAGAGAGAGAGAGGTGTTTGCTGTCAGAGAAAGGAGTCCTGGAATGGCAGGTAGGATTTTTTTTGAGGGGTTACCGGGGATCGAACTCGGGTCCTTGCGCTTGCGCAGCAAGCGGCAAAACCACTGAGCTAAATCCCCGGCAGGTAGGATTTGGATAGGGCAAAAGAATTGTGTTACGGGTGGTAGTGGGGTGTATACATCACAGGAAGGACTTCCCAAGTGAGGAGTAAGGGCCAAGATAACCGAGTGTTTGTTTCTGGAGCATGCTAAGTTGCACAGAAAAGAACGGGAATAGCAGCCCTGAGACTGCTGTCCTTAGAAAGGCCTGCGTGCGGTGCGGGCTTGGCCCTTGATGGCATCTGTCGTCTGAGAGTATTCCCATTATTTCCTAAGAATGGTTCACGCTGCCTTATCTGTTTGGGAAACACTGGGAATGTGGAATTTTGGCATGAGCAAGGCAGACAGTGCCTCTGAGCCACCCTCAGTGAAAACTCTGGACATCGAGTCCCTGTCGGACTTGGTGCGTGTTGTCACGTGTGACTCCTAGCCAGAAAGGACTTGGAGGCTTGCACCGGGATTCCTGCGCACTTGACCCCATGCATCTTTTCTTTAGGGGGATATAGCTTTATAGTCTCTTTCTCTGATTCATTGTAGCGATGAGAAGTGGCCACATGCCGAGTCCTGCTGGTGAACTGTTGAAACTGGAGGTGGTCTTGGGGGTCTTTGACTCCTAGATATGTTGGTGAATGTATAGCATAGAGAAACTAATCTATTTACTTAAAGATACTGTGTGAAATAAGTACTTTTTCTAGTTTTTCTCAGAATCTACTTTCTATGAGGAGAAAGATTTATATTCTTATACAAAAAATCAGAGGAGCCTGCTTTAGAAGTAAAGATATTTTCATATTGCATTAAACTTACTCTAGGTGAGCTGTAATTGTAGCAGTTGCTAAAGTTCGTTTTTGAGAATATGTGTTCTTAAATTTATAGAAATTCAGAAGGCGTGTTCAAGAATCTACACAAGTGCTAAGAGAACTGGAAATTTCTTTAAGAACAAATCACATTGGGTAAGTATACTTCTTGAACATCTTAATTCTAAGCCTTGGGAGAGTTCAGAGGGACTGAATCATATCCAAGAAGTAAACTTCCTTACTGGTCATTATGAATTAAAAGACTGAGATTCAGATGGCCAGAATATTTTCTTTATTTAGTACTTGAAGTGCTCAGTGTGCAAGAATCAGTGGAAGCAGGAAAGATAGTTCTTGATATGGGATACTTGCGATAGTTTTATATGCACCTATTTTTTTCTCGGATGCAGTGAAGATGGGCAGTGTGGTCAGGGGTGATGGCACATGCAAGTAACCCAGCACTCTGGAAGGCTGAGGTGGGAGGACTGCGACTTACTAAGACCCTGTCTGAAAATTGAAAAGTGAAAAAAAGGGCTAGGGATGTAGCTCAGTGTGAAGTCGCTGGGTTCAACCCCCAGTACTGCCAGAAAGCGGGAGGGGGTTCATGATAGTGCTTGTGTGGATATGTACCTAGCAAGTCTCTGGCAGATCAGGAGCCCTCAAGACTAGGGTCAGACTGAGATTCTGCAAAGTCTCTAAGCCTTTGCTGTCGCTCTCCCAACTGGTTAGTTTTAAACTGTTTTATTCCCCTTTTCTCAATTCCTTGGAGTTTCTGGTCAGAGGGGGATGGAAAGTGGAGTGATGTTACCTGACCTTTCTCATTGCACTCGGAGACACACTCTGAATCTCTTTCATACACCTCCAAATCGTGGGACCATGAGGTGTAAATCCACGGTGAGAAAATCATGTTCCAGGGCATCTCTGCCCTGAGCATTTCTGTGGGTTTCTTAGATGAAACACGGTTCTTTTGCTTGAGGCTGAATGGGGTTTATTACATTCTCTCTCACTACTGGGATGGTAACATTGCAGTTCTTTAAAATAAGATGGTTTGTCTGAAAGGCAGAATGATACCAGCTATCCTGTTTTATAGCTTTAGTTGTGTGCAAAGTACTCATTGGGCAAGTTATTTCTCAGATTTTGACTTTTTGGGTTTTACAATGAAAGGGCTGTACATTTTTATGTCTTTTAGAATGTTCTGTGATATTTTTTGCATGTCTGTCAAAAATGAAATTATATATGCATATTACGTTATAGTTTTACAGAGTAAAATAGATGTATTACATAGATAACAGTTTCTTTCTTCTTCAGACTATGACTGGTAGCCTTTCAGATGGTTAATTAGCACAGCCAGAGTAAGCTTTCCAGTGTGGCTCGGGGTGTTGCTCAGTAGTAGTACCACTCCCCCACACCCTCCAAAAAAGAAAAAAAAATTTTTCAGAAATTGCATTAATACTAGTATGGTTTATGGGTGAGAAAGCTTGAGTGAGAATGTTCATTTCCAAAAGAATAACCTAGCAGACTTGCCACTTTGAGAACCAAGTCTTCAGAAAATGAAGTGATTCTAGCCTTTGTCCCCAAAAATTGAACTGTAGAAAAATGATTCATATAATCATGATTTCAGAACTGGAAGGGAAATTAAGGATTGCTTAACCGCACATTTTACAGATGAAAAGAGTAAGGATCAGAGAAGGCGAGTGAATCATACAGAGTATACAGCTGTAGAGCCAGGTGCTTTGGCTCAAAATTCTCTGTACTTTTTTCTGAATTGCTTACCCTGGCAGCTTTTTCTCTGAAAGAAATTAAGATAATCGGAGCTCTTGGATGAGAGCACTGAGGCTTGTCTATTGAGGGTGAAAGCAGTGGTAGTTTAATGTAGTTGGGCATCCAAATTTAGGAAATTTTGAAATATTTTCCGATGGATCAGAAGTGAGATTCCAGTTGGTATGGCCCAACTTCATGTCTTGGTACTTCTTAACTGAAAATGGTGGAATGAATCGCAGCCAGGATTTCTACACATTGTCAAAAAGCATTTCTTCAGGCATTGCTGGAATAATGTGAAATTGACCATCAAATACCAAAACAAAATGATCATTTTCAATCCAAAGTTGGCTGAGTAGAAGAGTCCTTGTTGGGTTGAAGCCAGTGCAGTCTGCAAGCAATTGGAGTGGTTTGTTGTATAGGATGCTATAGACAGGCTGAAAGATTATTATATTTCTTTCATCTGCACCAGCTAAAGTTTTCCCTGCCCACAACTTACGTGAGACACTGAAAGCTTTGGCTTTAGCTGCAGAAAAATTTGTGGAGATGGATTTTCTGGTGTATGCAACCAATTACTGGCATAAACTTAGATGGAATAAACCACACACCAGGATTTTGACCTGTCTTGCCCATCCATAAACCCTACCCAATCTGGGTTCTTTATTATGTAAACTAACTGACTTTACATCACTTAATTTGGAAATCTTCTGAAGAATAACTTAATAATGAAAATAATCAGTACCATGGGAAATTTATGGAATGTAAGATGCTATGTAAGAGATCTGTAAGTTTTGTTTTACTGTTTAAGGGAAGCTAATAGATAGTTCGGTGCCCATCTGTCTTATGGAAACAGATCTTGATGTAAACTATTGCTATGCCCCTTTTAGTTATTTGACCTTTGATAAGCTACAAAAGCTCTCTGCACTTACCATGTGACCTAAGTTAGCTTCTCACCTATAAAATTGGGCAATAACACTTAGCTTATAGGAGTGTTGTAAAGTTTAATGAGATTAAGAAAGACCTTCCTAAATGAAGATCTGATATAAAGTAGTTACTCAATATATGGCAGCTATTGTTTATTGTTAGGCTTGTGGCAAGTAATATCTACTAATAATTCTATAATACATATAATCCCTAAGGAGTTTCATGCAGAGAATATTATTTTCTTCATCTAAAATGACCCTAACACCTAGAGGATTGTGAAGATTGTGGTTCCCAGAAATGAAAAGGAGGGATTACATTTAAAAATCTTCTTTTCCCCCCAAAATTATTCTTGGCACATGCTTGCATTTCAAGGTTATTGGGCTTCTCTGAGATAACATTCTAAGTTGTAGCTTTGTCGAGCAAAAGGTTTGTTCTGAATTTTGATGTAAGCCTAAAATTCGATAAATGGAGCGTCTTCCAAGAAAGAAAATTAATTTTCTTTGAATCAAATTGAAATAAGACTTGGGATAGGAATAATCCCATTCACTCACTCTTAGGAACAATAACAATGGAGAGGAATTGGATTATGACTTATCCAAGCCCCTGAAATTACTTGGAATACCCTCGAAATGAACCAGGCACTGTTAGAATATACTGAGGAACAGCGTGAGTGAGCAGCTGTCACGGTGCTTTGGCTGTGAGGCCGATAGGACTCAAGTGTCGGCAAGGGTGAGCCGGATAGATTTACTGGCTTCATTCTGTGGAACTGAAGTGTGAGTGATCTGTCCGGCAGGTAATTCATTTTAGTAAAACTGCCTATAATGATGGAAAATTACTTTTCATCCTGTGTGCAAGGTCACCCAGAAGGTGCTTGTTTCACTTTATCTTATGGGGAGTTGAAAGAGCAGGGGTGCAGTTGCAAGAAGAGTGTGATAAGTTGGCAAGGAGGGAGAGGTTTGTTCAAAAAGAAAGGAGCCGAGGAACTGCTTAGCAGGCGTCTTTCTCCTGGACTGCCAGGCCTCGTGGGGATCGGTGCCGGCTGGACCCGGCCAACAGAGGAAATGAAATGCTGGAGAGTGACCGAGGAGGCTGCTCTTAAGACGTAAGCAGTGTGGATGTGTGTGTAAGCCTGTCTAGGACTCTGCGATTCATTCATTCATTACGTGGTCAGATGACCGAAGGTCACCTGTTAGGGGCCTTGTGGACTCGACACCACTTAGAAGCACTGATATTTGACCCTATATGCCCAGCTATAAGGCCTCATCATTCAGACCATTATGTCTCAAGTTTTTTAGGGTCAGGGCTCCTTTATACTCTTTATTTTTAATACACTTTTTGTATTTTTGATCCTAGTAAACTTTCATTTATGTTGGTTGTATCTATTACCATATTAGAAATTGAGATTGATAAATTTCAAATGATTCATTTATAAGACTTACTATTTAATAATAAACATTTCATTTATATAAATATAAAATAAATACTTTGATATATTGTTTCATAAAATTAATTTCTAAAATAATGATAGACAAGAGTAGCTTTAAAAAAAAAACTGGCAGACCAAGATCCATCAGTAAAGGTACAAGTTCCCAATGATGAATGTAACTGTATTGAATACCTAAAATGTACCAATAAAAGCATTTAAGAGGAAAAGAAAAACCTGGCAGATCGCTTAAGTGTCTGGTTAGTAGAAGACAGCTGGGTTCTCTTATCTACATCTACATTCATTTGTTGATACAGCTTCTTCTTGTTTTGGATGTATATGAAGAAAACTTGGTCTTTCAGATGTACGTGCTTTGATAATTGTGGATTTTTTTGGATAGTACAACCAAAATTCAACAAGTGGTAATTATTTTCTAAAAGTGGTTGTAATGTGAGTTCTGAAGCTATATCATATTAGTCAGCTTTTCATTGTTGAGACAAAATACCTGACATACGCAGCTTACAGGAGGAAAGGTTTATTTTGGCTTATGGTTTTAGAGGTTTCGGTCTGTGGTCAGCTGGTTCCAAGGCAGAAATGTTAGGAAGCAGAGAGGGAAGCAAAGAGCCAGAGAAAAAGGAAGGGACTGGGGACAGGATGTACCCTTCAGCGGCATGCCCTGTGTAACCTGCTTCCTTCTAATATGCCCATTCAGCATAATCATTGGTGTATTAATCTGTCCTTGAGATGAGCACTCTCATGATGCAGGTACCTTCCTAGATCTGCCTCTGAATATTGCTGCCTGAGGGAATGGAGCTCTCAATGCATAAGATTGGGGGCATTTCACATTTAAACTACAACACATATCAATGAACTTTCTGTGTTTCAGCCTATTGAGATCCATTTTGAAATGTGAAGGGGAACAAGGGAGGGGGCGGGGGAAGGAAAGGAAAGACAAAGGGTTAGAAAGACAGAATGGAAAGGAAAAAATAGAAACAAAGCTTTTGTAAATTGTGAAGGGGAAAAAGGGTTAAAGGGAGGGGAAGGAAATGCTAAAAAAAGAAATAAGACATATTATGTACTGGTACAATTCCCTGTGATGAATGTGATTATTATGTATGGCAACTATGTACTAATACAGATTTTTAAAAGAGCAATGCTAAAAAAATTCATTGTGTTGTCTTTGCTTTGAATGGATCCTTTTACTTATGGATAGACATGTATTTTTTACCTATAGGTTTGGTAACATTTGTCAATCTTAATCATTAGTCATTTAGAAAACATTCTTGCACTGAGTTTATTATGCTCTTTCAAATGTTGAAACATGTCACTGTATGATATTTTTTTTAAAAATCACATTCATTAACAATCACCAGGGCCGGGGATTTAGCTCAGTGGTTCTGCTGCCTGCTTCGCAAGTGCAAGGTCCCAAGTTTGATCCCTGGTACCAAAAAAACCCCAAAAAACAATCACCAGTGTCATCGGAGCATACTTTTAAGTATTGGGAAGCCATCAAATCATTGGTCAATTCAGGTTTCCCAGAATTCTTACTTTTGCTTCAGTGCTCAAATTTTGTATTTGATGGCAAATATCGTGTTTCTGTAGTTTCCCTGAAATGACAGGCTCACTGCATTCATTATTGGTATCTTCCAGATATCCGAAACAGTATCACCGTAGTTTGTCAGTCATTTTTACATGTACATTAGCAGTCCATATAGAAAAGTGAGCTGGGTGTGGTGGCTCATGCTTAACAACCCCAGCTCTCTGTGAGCTTGAGGCAGGATGATGGCAAGATTGAGCCGTGCACGGATAATAAAAATGAGTGAATGAATGAAAGAATGAATGCCTGGGGATGCAGCTCGCCATGACCCTGAGTTATCTTTAGGCCAGCGGCAAGAAGTGGGCAGTCAGCTTGTAACTGAACTATTGCCACAGTGCTTTTCCTCGAAATAACCATGATGCCTGTGTGTGCAGCAGAATGTTTTATGGGAGCATCCTAGTGTCACACAGAAAATTAACAAGGTATGTACTCAAAAATCAAGTTTTAACAAATCAGTGATTTTTATTGCTTTAATAAGCGTACTTAAGCAAGTCCAGCTTTTTTTTTTACCCATTCCTTGATTGCGGGGGGTGAACAATACAATAAGTAGGTGTATTCTTTGGCGGCAGCAGTGTTTTCCACTTTTATTTATTTTTTACACCATGAATGTTAGAGTCAACAGGGTGAAAATGAGACATCTTAATATTTTTATGAAAATAGTTTTGTCCTCACAGATGCCCCTGAGGAGATAAGAGGAGTGCACTTTGAGAATCAGTTTCCAACACTGCCTAACAGATTTGGTATCCAGTGTCAAATTTGGGTGATACTTATCTTTCTCTTGTTTGCCATGATTTTGTAGCAAGTTCATTTCGTGTATCTGTCAATAAGATATTTTTCTTAAGGGAACCTGCAAAGGGAATTTTTTTTTTGTCACTTTTTCTTATACATCTTTTGGCTACTTTGCTTCATCTTAGAAAGCCAGAAGGGTCCATTAAGACTTAATTTTCCATATGAGGACAGTGAGGTCCTAAGATTTGGGGAAGCAGAACAAAGCTTTGAAACAAAGCTTTTGAGCAGTTTACAATTTAGCAGTGAATGCTTACATCTCTTCTTTGAATCCAGTTTTTTCCCAGCATTATTTTTCATTATCATGGTCTTCCAGCTTTAGCATCTGATTTGGAATTTGCCTAAATTCAGATTTACAACATATGGTAATTACACATGAATCTGTGAGGCACTCAGGAAGTAGTGTGGGCCGTCAGTCAGAAAACAATTCCACTTTCCAGAACTTATGATCACCCAATTTGAAACCAGTTGCCTATGGGCAATATATTAAAGTGTGCATAACATGCACAAAGATGAAAATGGAAATAATTTACTACAGGAACATGAAATATATGATAGTCATTGTATGATCAAATACATAAATCTGCAAAATGAAGGATTCATAGTCTTTTCATACCTTTAGATTCAAGACACTGCATTTGAAGTTATGGTTTTTGTCTTTGCCTATTTTCTTTCTTTACTCTTCCATTTACACAGAAGGTCTCTCTCAACTCTTCTCTTCTGTAGAGAATGTCCTAAGCAGAGAAAGAGCAGGTACTGGAAGGGCAGGGCCGAGTGAGAGCTGCCTTTTCTCTTATGATCTGAGCGCTTACGGCTGAACTGTCTTTGCTAAGCTGATATTGATGAAGACGGTAAGGTAGCCAATCCTGAATGATTTATATCTAATTTTTTTAATCACATAGTGGTGGCAGGGCCACATCAAATAACCATCAAGGATGCTGTAGCTTAGAAACATATGTTCATTCATGAAATTAAAGCAGAGGTAGGATGTTTACTCTCTAACTGGCTTCTTATGACATAGGCAGCAGGCTCCTTCCTTTCCATGGAAATTGTCCTGAAGGCACTCAGGGTCAGCAAGTAAAGATGAGGGCATCCATGAGGATATTGAAGTGACGTTAAAAAAGCCAATTAATCTTTATCCCTGTATCAAAATACTTAGCATTGTGAGCCACGAGAATTTAGCTGACTGTACTTGGCTGTTTCCTACTTATTTTTCCTTTTCTTGTCTGGGTCTCTGTCCTCTTATCCAGTCTGTGACTGAGCGTCCTAAGTGAGACAGAGGTGCTCGTGGTTGAGATGATCCTGGAGGAGCTGTGCTCTTGGGAGGCAGCGTCTGAACAATCCAGCAGAAGGAGCTTCAGTGCATGTTCTCTTCAACTTCTGAATTAGTGAGCAGCTGAGATAGAATATGTGAAACTGAGATTGCCTTAAAGCTTCTGGACTTTTGTTACTGTTTTCATATTAAATTGATGCCCATCATCAAGGGCCAGTTTACTTTGTGCAGTTGTAGCCCAAGGGCCAGACCAGTGGAAAGACCTCAGAGAAGCTTAGGCGCCTGAGTTTGAACAACTAGTCGTCTGATGTCATAGAGTTGCAGCCTCCCTAAAGTCTCTTGCCAGTAATCTATCTATCTGTCTGTCTATCTATCTATCTATCTATCAATCATCTATCTATCTATCTATCTATCTACTTTGAAACGTAAGAATGTTCAGTGTCTCCTGAGGTCTAGCAGCATAGGAATTATTTAAAATAAATACCTAAAAGCGAATGCTGTGAGATCATGCATGTGGCTGTTTTGGAAACTTTAGATTACCAACAAGCAGCCTGTTAGTTGTGTTTAGGTCTCATAACAAAGCCACTTTGTCAGACTTAACAGATGGTGTCTTCTTTGCCAATGTTGCCACTCTACATTTCTCCTAAAGGTTGTATGTCCACAGTCAGCTGTGTTAAGTGGATACATTCTGTGGTAGTCTGTCTGAGGCATTTGGGGGAAAATACAAGTTAATCTATCTAATTTCCCACTCGGCTGCCCCCTGGATGTACTTGTGGAGCTGAGTTTACATCATGGAGATGATGGGACTGGGAGAAATTATGAGCTTGAAGATAAAACAAACCCCACTTATCCAATTAAAAGAAAATAGGCATCCTGAATCCACTAGATTTTTTCATCCTTTAAGACAAAATCTCAAGGGATTCTTCAGGACATATGGTAGGATTGTACTTGCTGCTGTTTTAATAGCTGGCAAGATGGGCTTCCGTAGTAGCTGTTGTGTCCATAGCTGCCCATAACCTTTTTGGCATGGTGTTTGGGGAGGAAAGCCACTTTGGAATGACACTGGCACTTGTGCCTCAGGTGACATTTCAGAGATAGTACTGATCTGTTACTTATTATTTGTTGGTGTTTCACTTGGAGTGAAGGTTTAATCAGGTACCACTCATTCATTGAAGATGAATGCACTGGAGGAGCTCTATAGAATATATAGTACCTATGTATAGAAGCTGTTTGACTACCCTACCAGAGTTGCTATGAAAAGCATAAAAAATGTGTAACATGTCAGTGAACTGCTAAGCACCATTCAAATGTAAGGTAATACTATTTAAAAATGAATCATTTAACAAATATTTGTCATGTGTTGTCTTTGGTGATGGTCAGCAGTGTTTGCAGCCCTTTAAGAGGTTTTAACATTCCTGGAAAAAATCATGCAAATCATTATTCCTGTTGAATTCCAGGAGCCCATAAACACTGGCTTCTCATTGGCTGGTTTAGTGGTTTCTTCAGCTTAGTGTGCCAAGGAGTTGAGCATGGATTTGGAGACATGCCTGACTTTCAGTGGTTACAGCGTCACGTCCCCTGCTCTGCCTCATTCTCTGTGCAGTCTTGGCTCCTTCAACCAGAAAGTTGTGGATCAGTTGTGGTGAAAAAAGTACATTTAGCAAGTTTCTTTTTCTAGGAAGTGTTTTATAGGTTAAGTCTCCCAAACAGTAAAGAACAGGGTGGCACAATGCACGTTCTGCCCCTCGCCATTGCACATTGAGATGATGTGGTTTTCCTGTCGTCCCTACAAGCTCCTGCCTCGTGAGAAGTGCCCCAGACCTTCCTCTGCTTCCTTTCAGGTGTTGGATGTTTCTGGGGGGGTCGGGGGGGAGACAAAACTTTCCACTATGTCTTTTCTATGTCAGATTATTTGATGAACTGCTTCAATTTTTTTTCTTCAACAGATGGGTCAGAGAGTTTTTGAATGAAGAAAAGAAAGGGCTTGATGTTCTAGTAGAATACCTATCGTTTGCGCAGTATGCAGTAACGTAAGTAAAATTCGAGTTGCTTGCATTTGAATTTCATGGGGTCACAAAAGCTGCAGCTTAGTGGTAAAATTTTACATTGCATAGAGAAGAAGATGTGGGAAGGTTTAAGGAGGTTTGTTTCTGTTTGTCTCACTTAAAACAGTCACATAATTGTTACTAGAAATGCCTTTGAGGCATAAATAAAACAGGTGAGTGAAAGATACTCTTAGCGGAACTCTTATTTAAAAGAATTTCTTCTACTGAACTGCACCTTAAGCCCTGTCTTTTTATTTAAAAAGTGATGTAGCTGGGGGTGTAGCTCAGTGGTAGAATGCTTGATTAGTATGGGCAAAGGCTTGGATTCAATCTCTACCACTGCAAGTGTAAACACGCGCGCACACACACACGCACACACACGCACACACACGCTAATAGATGCATAGAAAATGACTGCAGAAATGGATGCTGCCATAGTGACCTGGGAGGAAGTGGCAGACAGAACTTTTCCTTTTTATTTCACACGTATTTGCATTGTTTCAATTTCCTGCCTACAAGTTGGGGGTGGGACAGAGTAGAAGAGTAGAGCAGGGGAAAGACCCTACATAGTGAACCTTGTTGTGTTATTTCATCAATCTTTCCCATCTTCTTGGCTTCTGGAATGGTTTAGAGCAGGACTGGAATATGTACATTTGAATGAGACTTCTTCTTCTCTACATTTTCTCCTTTAATCAAAAAATGTTCTGCTTTCCTCATCTGTACATACTAAGGCAGTGATGCTATGATTATAATTTGACTGGAAGGTGTTGCAGCCTATGTGGTGTTTTTTTTCCCTTTCATTCTGTATATAACTTGAATTTTGTACTCCCTAACTTCAAAACAGGCCTAAGACCTAACCTGGTATAATCTTAAAATCTCCATGACTTCCCTGAGAATTTGTGCGGAGAAAACTATACTTATTCTTATCATATAGATGAAGAAACAAATGTTAACTGAAACCGGCTTGATGGGTTTCTGTTTTCGTACCTCTCAAGTATTAGATGGGATAGACTGAAAAAAAGAAAACCCTAATGGATCAGGTCATATCTTCCAGAGAAATTGTACTCTGAAATATAATCTTGTTTGTACGGCATGTTCTTCCAAACTTTACCTATCTCCATTACATGAAAACCTCCTAATTTCTCTTATGCTTCATATTATATGATAAAACACAATATTCTTCATTACATATTTTAAAATCTAGAGAATATTTCTAGAATGGAGAGGACTAAGAAAAATTAGGATTACTGGATAAGAATAGCATGTTATATGTTCTATATTTGTTATAATGAAGCATTTGCATACATAATAATTGAACTTGTCAACCAGATTTCCCAATTGTACCCTCACATAGAATCATTAGGAAAATGCTGTGTTACTATGTGGGAATTCTTGTAGTGTATATTATAAGACAATAGCTAACAAAAGATCAGAACTCAGTGTTCTTGTTTCCTAATCTTGTGCCTTAGGTTTGGTATGTTTATTTTGGCATGGGCTTTAAGCTCTGGGTTATTAGTTTTAGTTTTGTTTTGCTTTAATTAGATATGTTATGTGTAAGTTTTTCATTGGTCTTTTATCTAGAAACTAGTGGGCTTTAGATTTTCTTACTGTTCTTTGTCATGTGACGATTTCCCAGCCTATGGTATGTGAGAAAGTAGGTTTAGACCCTGTCTGTGAAATAGAGGATTCACTAAGGTGCGCTTTTCCTTTCTCTGCTGTGTGAGAGTGGGAATGAGCGGAGAGGAAGGAGTGTGTGCTAAGAGGCTGAATGACACAGGGGCTGCAGAGGAACCTGGTGAGCGTGCTGATACTATGAGTGATCGTGGGATTTTGCCTTGAGTTAACCGCCTTCACGCTTGGCTGTGGCCTTTTATTTCCAGTACTTCACATGCCTTAGGTCACCCCGTTGTGCATTCCTTCTGTTCAGCATTGCCTCCTATATCCAAGGCCGTGACCAACCTGCATTGGCTGTAGGCCCCAGTATTTGCTGTCTGATGAAACCCTAATAGGTGGGCTGTGTCACGGGGGTTTTCTGATAACTGCTCCAGTGACATTTCATTTTGGCATCACACTTCTGTTAAAAAATCATAGATAATTCCTAATACGTATTAATTTTTTTCTTCTGAAAGATCTTCTAAAATCTTCCTAAGGATATTAACTGTAATTACTTTCTGTTTGTTCTATAGTGCAATCAGGCATTACATAGCGGAACTGTGTGTAGAAACAATGAATACAATTTTTTTTTAGAAAGCAGAAGTGCTGTTTTCTGTGAGAGGAAAAAATTGCATGGAGCACAAAGGCTTGTGTGTTTAAAATTTTTGCTCTGAAAACTATAGAAGAGTGAGCAACTCAGCTTGCCATTTATTCTAACATGGTTAACATGAGTAATAACCTCAGAAAATGTCAAGAGAAACAACAGTCTTACTTTAAAGAGCACCACATTGGGAAGAGATTCCAAAATCAAAGCAAATCCTTAACTTCACTAGTAATGTATCACATATGGTTGGAAAAGTACACTTGCCAACACACTAGGAGAAAATGCTCAGTGAAAATTGATGGGTAGGAATACATTAGTATAAACCTAACATATTGACTTGTTAAAGCAAAATGAAGACAGCTGTTACAATCTTTTTCCACCTTCTACCAGAGCAATGTTAGCAACTGGTGAGCTAGCAAGCCTTATAGTAAATTACAAATAATGCATCACTACTTAATTTTTGCTATTCATAGCTCTATGATTCTGTTGCCAGGCCCAGTGTTTATCATCCTTGCATTATTGAAGCTAACACCGAGTCTATAGAAATTCTTTTTACTTTTCTTTGTCTACAAAGACTTCCTATACTAAAGTGCACAGGTATTACAGTGATGACAAATTGTATATACCCATGTCTGTGTGTGAAAGTGAATTTCTAAAGTTTTCATCAGCATTCTTCTTTTGTTGTAGTTTTGACTTTGAAAGTGTGGAAAGTACCGTGGAGAGTTCAGTGGACAAATCAAAGCCCTGGAGTAGGTCCATTGAGGACCTGCACAGAGGGAGCAACCTGCCCTCACCTGTGGGCAATAGCGTGTCCCGCTCAGGAAGACACTCTGCACTGCGGTAAGTGCCTTAATCAGGAGGACTCTTCAGTAGGATGCACTAGGATGGCCGGGTCCCTTCTGCTGATTTGGGACAGTTTATCAGTGCATCTTGCCACGCAGCACTTTCATTTCTGATGACTCGAAATGAAAGTTTCTTTCAGAGTTCATGGGTCCTTCCCTTGGCCAGTACTCTGTGGCTTCAAGTATACCTTGAATCAGCATAGAAAGTGAGACATTTCTGCCAAAGGATTAACAGAATAGTCTCATAGCAGACAAATTTCTGAAACCCAGTGAATGTGGACATTGTGATGCAGGTATTGTTTCCAGCGTAGAGGCAGCACTTTGAGATCTGAGCATCTAAAGAGCCTCTATGCTTTTCGTTCTTCATGCTTTTGTGCTGCCCTCTTTTCTTCCACTCGTAGCTCAGGTGCATGCTCTGCAGGATGTCTTCTGAGTCATAGGTGCAGAATGCTGGAGTGAATTTGTTTTAATTGATGATACATCTTTAAGCAGTGTTTCTTAGGTTAGATGTGCTTCATTTGTTAACCTTACATTTTCTCCTAAAGTTTCCCTGTTAAGTATCTCCTGGCTGAAATACCACCAGGCTAAGGGAAGATTGGTACCTACTATGTATACCAGTTTGGGGCATAATATTGCTGGGGTCGTTCATTCACTCATATCCATGACTGTTCATGAATTGAGAAATATTTTGGAGCTTCTATAATTTGCCAGACACTGCATTTGGAGTTAACTGTATATTAGTAGATGAATCGGCTATCTTGCCAATCAAGTTGGAGATATCTAGAGCAAGTTCATAAAGCTTTTTATGGTCTATGAATTTAATATAAAGTCTTATTAATCATAAGACCCTCATTCCCATATGTTCCTTAGTCTCGGTAGCTTGAAAATTTTATCTCAAGTATTTCAGACATGATCTGGCAAAAGGATATTTCTGTTGTATTTGAAATCACCATGGATTTTGGGTCATTGTCGTAGAGTCCAATAGTAATATGAGGCTTTCAGACCATTCAAATTTGGTTGCCTTTTAATTATTTTTTATTCCTTTGTCTTGGATTTGATTGTGGAAAGTTAAAAAAAATTCTCTATAATGAAATTCAGCTCTGCTGAAGTGTTTGATGTTTATGCTTCCAACAAACCATTCACATTTTTTACAGAATGCCAAAAATGCTAACGCATTTAGAATTGATTCTAAAATAATAAGAAACAGTATTTCAGTCCACCTTTTGATATTTGTGAGGGGCCAAGGACTATAACCTGCCAGTCTGCATCAGCTTCGCAGGTGGGCAAAGGAAAATGTGGAAGTTGGAGAAAGGCCTGTTGTGCCCAAGCAATTCTGTCACATTGATGCTCAAATAGAAATTCTTACCACTAGTTCAATCTACAATTGTATGTAAGGGGTTTATTTTACAAAGTATATTTTAATTTAATTTTCTATCTTTCCTTACTTAGAAAGTATCATGTATCAGCCAGCTACCACCCAGCAAGTACTCATTTTTCTGATTAATATTTCACCTTGTAAAAATTATTTAAGTCCTTTCCCAGGGATCTCATTATTTCTTGTAAAGTGAAAGGATCAAAGGGCCAGAGATTTAGCTCAGTGGTGCTGCGCCTGCCTTGCAAGTGCGAGGTCCTGAGTTTGATCCCCAGTACCACTAAATAAATAAATAAATAAATAAATGGATCAGGGAAATCGCCCAGGCTCAAGGAAGGATGTAAGGCTGGGTACAGGGACATCAAAAGTGAGCCTGGGGTGCTTTACATTGGCTCAAGATGCTGTTGATGTTTATTTTCCATTGGGAAACAGACTGAAAGTACAGAAGTAGACTTGATGGACATGGTACCTAGAGAAAAGCAGGAACTGTATAAATTTCTGCTTAGCAGGTTTCTCAGAAATAACTCATTGAGAAACCAATATCAAACCAATATCTTCGGTTTTGTATTTTAGCAGGTTCAAGCCCAGGAAGGCATTGTACTTGACTGTACTTCTTGATTTTTAGTAACTGAAGAAAGTCAACAGGGCAGTAGTTTTTATTTCACTTAGTGACTCAAAGCTTTGAATTTTGTTTTTGTTTTTAAACTGTGTATCAATGATAGTTCAACATTTGTGGCTCATGGATTTGTGCCTGGGTTGTGTTTCTGTATTTGATCGTTGGGTAGCATCTGTTACCTATAAAAACAGCAATCAGATGTAAGGCATATGGTACGTGTTGCTTTTCATATACCCAAAGATTGTTTACATTTTTTTCTCTTCCTCCTCCTCCTTTTCTCCCCCTTCTTTCTCTCCTTCCCATACAACCTTTACTTTTATAGCTTTGTTTTTGTTGTTATTTTTCATTCCACCATCTCACTTCTGATTGCCTCCTCTACTTTGTCCTTCCTTGTCTTGCTGTCTCCTCTCACTTTGGTTCTATTCATCTCTTACACCACTACCAGATTGGTTTCTCTGCCTGAGTATCTTCAATTCAAATGCCACCAGAGCTGCTTCTCCCCCTGTGGCCTCTGGAGCAGCGTCAGTTTACACGCTGATGGTGAGGCTTCAAACCGGAACATCTCGTAAGTCATGGGTGAAAATGCCACCCAAGATAGCTGATAGTGCATGGTGGCAGGGTCTTGTGACTGCTCTCCATGTTATAATATGATAACTTTGTGACTTTGCGCCAACACACTGTCCTGGGATAAAGCCCACTGTCTTTTTAAGCATTGATACACTCTGTTATCATATTATGATTCCTTATTTTAAGATTTTAACCCATTAGTATATGTCGCATTGTTAATATTGTAGTTTTTTTAAGAGAAAAAATATTCATGTTCTGTAGAGATGATTTATTCTGCTAGCTTTGTTTGATTAGTAAATGCCGCTATATCCAGATGAAGATTTCAGTCCCCTCTTCCTAATCTCCAGATAATAACATAGATTCAATAGTCTTTACTAGTATTACTTGGCAAAAAAATTGGCTAAACTTGGAAGAAGAGATAAGACTTCAGGAGATTTAAAATGTGTTATAAATAAGACATGATTAAAGAAAAAAGGAAAAACACTTGGAAGATATAGGTTTTTGAAGAAAATTCTAATGTTAGCCCAGTCTATTACTGGTATTCATACTTTTTAACTATTTAAAATTGTTTATTAAGCATTTTGTAGTTGGATGTATACCTTGAGTTGTATTAACTATTGGATTCTGAATTATCATACATTTGACAGCTTGGCCAGAGGGAAAATTGTTGATCTTGAGATGCAGGAGAAACCCAGTTGTTCTGTCTCCAGAGCCTCTTGTGTCTCCAGGTGACATAAATTTCTGCCAGTGTAGCTACAGATCTGTCTGACTTAAGCGATATACTATATGCGTGTATGTGCACGTTTAATCTGTGGGGAACCAAGGGTATATTATTTCAGATGCAAGAGAAAGAAAGTAATTTAAAAATTTTAAGATCAAGATCAATGCCCTAATGGTATTTCAGGTCTAATACTTGAAATTACATAGACATAAGCAAGTTCCCTGAGTTTTTAAGGAAAGTGGTAGTTTACTAACTTAGGCCCTAGGGGACAGGACAATTTAAACTGGGCCTTTCAGTGATGGATCTCAGGATGAGGAAAGTGTGCTCTGATGAGCAAAACCTTGTGCAAAGGATCAGGCATGTTCAGGAAAGAGGGAGAAATTTGTCCTTTCAGGGACAAGTTGTGTGATACGATAGAGGTGGAAAATGATAGCTTGGAGAGAAGAGATCACAAATGACAAAACTGGAAAAGCCTTGTAGATCATCCTGGCTGACTGTTTCCACTGGGTGAAGAAACCAAGATACACTTTGACTTTGATTATTAACTACTGCTAATATTTTTTCCTAAGCCCTCCCTAAACAAGATTTTACTGTTTTTCCTAGAACTATCATTTTAGTGGAATGGAATTTCAGGAATCACCATCATCTGACAATTTCCCATCTATATAATCAGTGGATTTATGTGAGGAGGTGAAGAGTTCAAATTTAGATCCCTGTTTATACGCTTTAACACAGTAATCCCATTTCTGGTAATATTTTTTTATGGAAGAAATTTTTTTAAGTTTTTTAAGCGGCACAAAGATGTAGATAACATTAATATAATTTTTACTGGGAAGAAAAACTTTTATTGAATGGCATGTTTGTGCTAGGCACTGTCATGAGAGCCTTGTGTGGTTTATTCCTCACAGTGCCTCTTTAACTTTTTTAACTGTAGTTACCACAGTTGGCTCCAATGCTTAAACAACTTGCCTGAGATCAAACAGTAAGTGAGGAGGTAGGATTTGAAATAAGGTGGCTTACTCCACATACAGGAGGACCTTTGGCCAATTCTTCTCAGAAATTATACCCTTTTTCTTGTTCTCGTAGGCTCCGAATAAGCTAGTAGAGACCTTGACCACTGTGCTGGAATATTCTATAACTATTTGAAAATAAGGTCTCATAGACACGTGAAAAGGTATTTCCTAACTAAATGACAGAAATAGGACAAAAAGTTCTGTATTTCTATAATTTTAGTTTTACCTATTGATAGATGGGAAGACATTGAAAGAAAAGTTTAATAAATGAAATAGTGACTTTTTGCTGAGGGTATTATGAGTAAAGTTTTCAAATTTTTGTTTCTATGATGTTTTGGAACTGATAGCTCATCAAGGATTTTTAGCCCCATTTTACAGATGAGGAAATTACATCTCAGAGAAGTTATACCCTCGCTAATAAGTGACAGAGCTAGAATTTATAACCAAAGTCTTCTGACTTCTTTCTACTGTGCCACATACCTTTATATTTTTTTACACTCTTTTATTATTAAATGTCTATTAATTTATTAAAAATTGGGTCTTAATGAGTATATTTTGATCACATCCATCCCCTCATTCACCTCTCTTATGCCCTCTTCTCCTCCTTATTCCATTCTTCATGTCTGATAATAGTCTGTTTTCTACTTTCATGTTTTTTTTAAATTCCACATATTAGGGCCAACGTACTATTTATGTACAATTTGAGGAAAAGTGTATTTGTGTATTCTCGTGCATTGCACATTAAATGTTAAATGCCATACATCAGTGTAACCAACCCTAATGAACCTAGAGGGAGATGGCGCTCAGTTTGGACATGGGGGAGTAAGGAGTCGGACTTGGTGGAGTGACTAGGGACAAGGACGAGTCGGGAGAATGGCTTGAGGGGTGACTGGAAGAGAAGGCTGCATGCGTGGTTCCTTTAGGAGCCAGTGAATAAATGAGTCTGGCTGGGAGTTGTTTAGGGCCAGTTGATGTAATGTGTTGAAGGGCAGGTTGTGAAATTAGCATTGTAGCTTATTGTCAGTGATATAAAGTTTACATATTATATTATATCTTTTATATTTAAAAGAGGGAATAATTTAAGCTTAAATTTTAATAATGTATAATTTAAGATGAGTACAAATATTTCAATTTAAAGGTCATAGGAGTAAGACGGTTTCCTTGAGCACTTTTCCACAGGGATCTGTCCTGCTGAGTTAGCCACCCGATAGTAAATGCCTTTGCCAAAGGGAATATAATGACAATGAGAAAGTTCAGATTAATAATGACTTTTCTTTCATGGGATGAGTTATCAGACTGTTCTTAGTCCATTCAAAAAGTATGTACTGACACTTTTTGATTATCGGGTGTATTCTATTACCTGGTTCTCTAACAGGAAATACCGACAAACAAGAAACTTTCGGTCCTTGATTAGGAAAAAATTCTTCAGTTTCTTCCCCTCCCTTCTTCCTTCCCATCTCTCCCTGTCTCTCCCTGTCTCTGTCTTTTTCTGTCTCTTTCTCTTTGTGTCTGTCTGTCTGTCACTGTCTCTGTCTCTGTCTCTTTCTCCTTTTACCCCGACTTTGAACTGGACTGAACTATTTCAGCTCTGTTTCTTTTGGCTACAGGGACAGTTAGAAAGCACTTGGCTCACTTTTTTAGCATTCTATATTTTATGAGTTTAATTGATAGAAAAAATATGCCCAAGTGATGTCATGTCTGAAGGGTAGAAGAGAGGAAACCTAAAACCCAAGGTCTTGGTTAAAGTAGTGTTAGCCCAGATCTTGGACCCATAAATGACTAGTGTAGCTCTGCTAGATTATGTTACGTGCCCTGTTGGTGTTGCATTCTGGTTGGCTTGAATCCCTTCCAAAGGGTTTCTAATTACTTTTATTTATAGGTAAATATTAGTTTGCTATCTGAATAGCTTGATATACTAGTTTTAAAAAATTCTTTTGCTGGTACATTTTAGGTATACAATACGTTTACATTTATCATTGGGTGCTTGTTCCTGTACATGATGTATCTTTTTCTTATTTTTTTTGTATTAAATTCTTTCATTGGTACATTGTACGTATACAACACAATTACATTTCTCATTGGGAACTGTACCTTTACATAATGCATCTTGGTTCTTATTTTTTTCCCATTCCTAGCCCTCCCTTCATGCCCTCC